ACGGCAGGGCTGGAAGGAGCCCCCACTGGGCAACGGGCCTCGCCCGTCCCTCCGAGACCAGGCAGCCTCCCTGGAGCACTGAAGCTGAGGGCTCAGAGGCTGTCCCTTCTTGTCACCTGGGGCCGCAGGTCTTGTCACCAGATGGGCTCCAGGTGTGTTTCCTCCGTGGTGACATGAAGACTGAGGGGTCGCCCGGGAGGAGGCAGAAAGGGTTGGGGGTAGGCGGCGCCCCCAGAATGCAGCCGCGACCCCCGCTGCCTCTTGTACTTCTCTCAGGGCTCAGAGCCCCCAGGGTCACCTCCCCAACCTGGGGCCTGACCCCCGCTGAGGACCCGGAGTCGAGCCTCACCCCGCAGCTATGCCGGGCGTGTTGGGTGGGGAAGGAAGTGCCTCAGTGTCCCATTGGCACAGGGGGCACAGGACTGCCCACCGAGTGTGGTGAAGGGCCTCATGGGCAGAACTCACGAGGAGGCACCCTGGGGGCTAACGGGATAGAAACAGTGGGACGGAAGTCTGGGGTCACCTTCAAATGGGAACCCAGCACGAGGGTCCCAGGACGGCCTTCAGCTGCTGGGCCTCTGCAATCCTGAAGAGCTGCCAGACCTCAGCGTCAGGACGCGGTGACTGTCCCAGGTTTAGCACGAGCACCGGCTGGGAAGGTGTCCTGAGTGAAATCACCTCGTGCAGACGCCCCACCCCGGGCCCGGTCCCTTGGTCTGCATGTCTGCTCACCCACGTCCCTCCCCATCCTGAGCCGCAGAGGGCAGGGACCCGCAGAGCAGGCGCTCAGTCAATGCTCACAAACGCGGAGTGAGCCGTGAGTAACGGAGTCTGATGCTCTCGGGGCCTGTCTGTGCCAGGCCCCAGGACCACGCCAACCAGACTTGCTCTGACAGGAGCCACCTTCGTGCAGGGGGTGCCACATGCTGCTTTTAGGCAATGGGGGAGGTGGAACAGGCCACCCCACTGAGGCACCGGCTGGTCACACGGTTCACACCCCTTCCCGATTCACAGCTTCTGTCCCTGCGTTCAAAGCCAGGACCCCGACAAGGAGTGTGACGAGCAGGCCTGAACCCACCTGCAGAGCCAGGGACCGCGGGGCTCTGGGACCAGGTTACGGCTGACGAGGAGAAGTGATATGGGTGGCAAGGGAGGCCGGGAACCCTCTGAGCCTTGGAGGCTGAGTGACCCCACCCCCGTCCTGTGTCCTGTCCCCTGGGACGGCCCTCCAAGGCAGAGGCGGAGTCCACCTCCCGAGTGAGCACTGCGGGCCCGTGTCTGAGTCTCCCCTGCACAGGGACGGTGGGCTTGGGAGCTCTCTGCGTGTGAGTGGGGGCCTCCGCCCCCCGAGGGCCTCCGGAGTCCACTCCCTGAGCCACTGCCCCACCCTCCCTGACCCCTCCGGGCTGGGGCTCTCACTCCAGGGGGTTTTGGCCAGGCCCCACCCACATCTGGGCCCAGACCAGGAGGTGCTGCAGGCTCCAGTCGGCCTCCAGGTGGGACAGGAGCAGCCCCTGCCGGACGAGGCAAAGCCACAGCCAGCCCGACCGCAGGACATTCACGGGTGCCACCGTGCCAGGCACGTACCATCGGGACGCCCTCCCTACAGTAGCCTGGGGACAGGGCTGCCAGACTCAGCAAAGAAACATACAGGCTCAGTTAAATTTAACCCGAGAGGAGCAACAAATCCTCTTTAGCACAAGTACCTCCCAAACCTCACAGACGCACTGACGCTAAAGCACCTGCCACCTGCTATCAGAGCTGGCTGTCCTGTTTACCTGGCAGTCCCACCCAGGAGCCACACACCAGGAGAACAAGGACTCGACGGCGGGGTCAGGTCTGGGCAGATTCAGAGCCTGGCGTCCTCCACACGGCCTGGCAGGGAGGCTGAGGCTCGGGGAAAGTGCCGGCACAGGGCTGCCAGCTCCTGGCCACCTTCTCCTGCCCCCAGAGGCGCCTCGGCGAGTCCAGCTCCAGATGCGCCCTGGCAGCACCCGGCTCCCTCGGACTGGAGCGGCCAGAGTGAGGTGCCTCCAGGCGCCTCACTCGTGTCTCCACGTTTGGTTAGAACACAGAGGGCCGCCAAAGACCATCCCAAGTGAAAACAATGGATAAGCTAAAACAACAATAAAAACATAACTTCTCTTTACGGCCAAGAGCTGCGCATAGTAAGGCACCTGTCCCAGGGCTGGTGGTGAGGAGGAGCCCATCCCTGGCGGAGGACGCGGGTGAGGTGCTAGCATGGCTGCCAAATCTGGAGGAGTCCGGAGGCTCCTGCCTGTCGGGCCTGGATGGAAACTGGAGAAGCCAGCCAGCAGGAAGGGCTTGATTCCGCCACCAAGTCACCTGAGCCAGAGGGGAGGCGAGACCGCGGAGCTGAGTGGTGAGGAGGGCCACACGTCACCTCGGCCGCCGAGAAGCCGCTCCCGGGGTAAAGCTGCATCCATCTACTCGACGAAGGTCCAGCATCCAGTCAAAGCCACGGGCACCACCAGCAACAACGGAGACTTAGTTGTCAGCGTGAGCCGGGGTCAGCACGGTCTCTCCCGGCCCGGCCCAGCTGGTGTCCCCACTGCAGCCATCTCCCCACGGCACAGCCCCCCAGAGAGGCCTCTGGAATCTTCCATCGCCGGGAGCTCACCGCCCACCCGCCCCAGACCCGGCAGCCCCTCCTTCCACACACGCACTCTCTGCTCCCAGAGCGCCAGGCCCTCCCCGCGAGCCTGTGCTACACCTGGGCCAGGCAGACGACCCACCGCCATGGGTAAGCCTCCTGCGCAGCGGCAACTGTGCAGCGAGGGGGGCGGGACAAGGACACACCCAACCCAAGGACCCTCGCTGTAACTCCTGGGGAGACACATGCGTTCTGCCGGGACCACAGACTGAGGCCGAGGGCCTGGAGCTCCTGGTGGCCGTCGTGGTCACCACGAAGGGAAGTCACCCGAGAACGAAGGGACAAGGAAGCAAAACTAAGAGAAGCAGCAAAATATCGTGACCATGACGATCCTGACTCCTGAAGCCGCCGGCCCCTGGACCGCCCAGGCACTGAGGCCCTGTCACCTCAGCACTCTCGAGACCAAGGAGACAGACGCCAAAGAGGCCTGCTGAGCGGCCAGGGTCACGGGACAGCCCGGCCGCAGCACGCGGACAATCCAACACCAAGCGAAGGACTCGTGTAGAACAACAGGCGAGACAGGAGGAACTGTGACCCACAATCTGGAGAAAAACAGTCAAGAGAAGGTCCAGAAACAACCCCGATGCTGAAGCAGACCCTGCTCAACAGGATGAAGAGCGCAGAGGAAAACGGGAAAAAAACGGAGAATCGCAGCCGAGAAATGGAAACGATCACGTGCGAATGCCAGAACCGAGACAAGCATGTGAGCTAACGCCCCGTGGCCACACGGTGTCTGGAACCCCAGAGAAGAGGATGGTGACCTCCAAGACAGGTCAGGGAAACCCCGACTGAAACAGGGAGGGCAGGGGGCACCGGGCCCGGGGGCAGAATCCCAGGGCCCCCGTGGAGAGAGCAGTGACCGCCGGAGCGGCCCACACAGCAAAGGGCCGGCCCTCAGGTCCAGGGCGCGCCAGCACAGAACTGCGCCCGGCCCGGCCCAGCGCCGGAGGAATGCCCGTCAGGGGGGACGGACGTGGTACTTTCAGAGACACGAGCCAGACGGACAGACTTCTCAGCAGAAGCAAGAGAAACCAGGAGCGCACGATAATCCTCAAAATGCCAAGAAAAGAAAGTCGTCCTGAAGCCACGTCCAGCAACACTGAGGAGCACTTCAAAGCATGGCCCCTCAGAAGGAGCGCCAAGCGCACGCGCACAAACCCCGGGGCAGGCGCACAGGAGGAGCGAGCCCGGAAAGGGCGGACCCCCAACTCCACACACGCCGACCCCAACCCCGTCAGAACAGCCAGAGTCCACCCACGGACCACCCGAGGCCGCGAGGTCGCAGAGCAACGGGGACGCGCCACCGCGGGGGGCCCGCGTGCAGCCACTGGAGTCAGCGGGGTGGTTTCTCAGCCACACTCGCTTCAGACATGATGCCGCTCCTGAGATTCACCCCAACGAGCCAAAAACCTGTGTCTGAACACAAACCTGCTTCACCCACAGCCACCCAGCCTACAGCAGCCGAGACGCCCCCGGGGCCAGCGGACACACAGACTGCCCATCCCAACGGGACCAAGAGAAATGAGCCCTCGAGCCACGAGGACATGGAGGAGCCTTAAGTGCACAGGAGGGAGCAAAGGAGGCCGCACGCCGAGGGCACACGGCACGCAGGCACATCCTGATCACAGCGCACGCGACCAGCACGAGATGAGACCCCAGAACCGCCAGGGTGAGCAGGCACAGACGGGATGAGGGCAGACCATCAGCAGAGGCAGAGCGACCAGGAGATGCAGGACTGAGAGGGAAGGGCCACGGACTGACCTCCACCTCGTGGCTCTCAGACCCCTCAGCCCACGACCAGCTCCGCAGGGACCAGACCCCAAGTCGGAGCGCCCAGCCTCTCCCACCTGCTGGACACAGCAGTCGTGGCCATCCTCCCCTCGCGGCCTCTGCTCCCTCGGTCCAGGCCTGTCCCCTCCCGGCCAAGTTCCCGGCCGCCGCCAGCCTGTCCGCGGCCACCACAGGCCTCTGAACACGGAGCCCTGGCCACCCTCAGGGGCTGCAGACCCAGAACCAGACCTGCCGCCCAGCCATCCCGCCATCTGGGCCTCCTCCTGGGACGCAGGGCCCTTCCCCACCTCGGCCTCTGCTGTGACGTCAGCCTGCTGACACTGGCTCTCGCCACAACGAGCCCCTCCCCTCCATATTTCAGCTTAAACGTCACCTCCTCTTAACTGACCGCCACCCTCACACCACCGTCCCAACACGGACCACAGCCCCCATGGCCCCCACGACCCCGTACTGTCTGGGCCACGACGCAACCCAGATCCTTCGACATGGCCAGCACGGTGCACCCAGTGACCAGGACAACCTGTCCACACGAGGCTCCCGGGCTTCAACTCAAGTTTAATAAATAAAACAGCAAGGGGTCCAAGGCAGCTGTCACTTCACAGTGTGGTCCTTGTGGGGCGAGAGGGAGCCCAAGTCCGACTCCTGGAGCAGGGGGCTCGAGCCAAAACGCTCCCCTGGTGACACCGGTGGCTGGAGGTGCTGCCCCTGCCCCCAGAGGACCCCACTCCAATTTGTAAACAGAAACATAAATAAAATGAGGGAGGCAGGAAGAGAAGGACCAGGACCCCAAACCATCCTCCCGGGGAGCGTCAGCAGAAATCCGACCCTCGGGGTCAGGGGAACGGGCTCAAGGCCGGCCCCTCGGTGTTGCAGGTGACAGGCCTCAGTACCAAGAGGGATGTGGTCACCAGTCTCCCGGAGCCCACGCCCAAGGCTGCTGGGGCCCCCAGGAGAGAGAGCATAAAGTGCGTCTTTTCCTGAAGTGGAGAGAGCGCGCGGGCGCGGGCGGGCCGACATCGAGGTATATGGCTCTGTGCCCCACGGGGTTTGGCACCGAGTAGCAGCTGCCCACCGACCCCTGGGCTGGGGCAGCCCGCGGCCCAGCCAGGAGGAGGGAGACGGGGCCACGCAGAGAGCTGGGGCGCCCCGGGCGGAGGCTGCTGGTGGGGGTGGCGTCCAGCCCCGTCTCCCCGACAGGCAGGGACGGCTTCCTCGCCTCTGCTGGTCAGACGGGCAGGGCCCTCCGACCCAGCTGCTCGACGGGGCCACGGCAGTGTCGGGCGCTGGGGGTGCCGGTCTGTGCAGGGAGGGGCGGCCGGGCCACCACTTGCCACAGTCCTTGGAGTGTTCTGAGCAGAGCAGGCGTCCCCCACGGCCCACAAGGAGGGAAGGGTCGGGAAGACGGCGGAGGCAGGCCCCACGGTGGCCACAAGTCCAGTCCAGGCCACACACGCCCACCTGCGGCCAGGGATCAACAGGTCATCACGTTACAGCTGTGGGAAGGAGACCGAGAGAGACAGAGGGTCAGTCCAGGCCCACAGACCGCATGGCTTGGGCGCCGTGTCGACACATGGCTCCCGCCCACCTCCCCACAGACCGTGCTCCCACGTGTGCCGACAGGATTCCCGAGGCAGCCGTCCCAGCACTAGGGACAGCTGGTGGCCAGCGGGGCAGGAGGAGCCTAGCACTGGCCCTGTTTCTATGTTTTTGGATTTTGAACCAAATGAATGTATTACGTAGTCAAAAAAATAAGCCAACTTACAAGGAGAATAAAACCAAAGAAACACACAGCCCACTCCGTGTGGCCAGGCCGTGCTGGGCCCTGAAGCCCCTCCTGCTACCTCACTCCGTGGGGGCTGGGGGGCTGGGGCAGGAGCCGCACTCACTGTGACAGGGGCTCCGAGTGCAGCCCAGGGGCCGGGCACGCTGGGTGGGCGGCCAGGAAGGGGTTCACGTCCCCAATGCCGATGAGTCCAAACTCGGTGACTGACAAGGCCACCTGTGCGGGGGCCACGGCCTCCTCAGGCTGTCCGTGCACGTCCGTGTGGCTGGAGGTGAGGGGCAGCTCCTCGGGGAGGGCCCCGGGCAAGGCCAAGTCTACAGCCAGTCTCGGGCTGGCGCTGGGCTCTGGAGTGGCCACGGTTGGTGGGTAGAAGGCCGGTTCGGCCAGGCCTGGTGGCCGCCGGGGCAGGGGCACCGCCGGGGGCGCGTCCAGCTGCTGGAACGAACCGGGCCCCGGCTCTGAGGACGGGAGGCCGTCAGAGCCCTCCTCGGGCTCAGCGACACTGCTGGCCGCGCCGTCCACGCTCGGCGGCTCTGCGGGGGAGGACACAGCTGAGGTGGGCCCCACAGCACCCGCGCCTGCCTGCTCCGGTCCAGAGTAACCCCACAAGGCACCCTCGCGGAATACCACGTGCCACAGGCTGCGACCGCAGGACCCTGCCCGACCCCTGGGGGCAGCAGAGCCCATGGGTCCCTCATGAGTGCTCCCACAGACACGTGACACGCACAGACAGAGGATCCAGCCACATGGACACGGCCCCTGGGCTGACAGCCCAGCCAGGGGAGGTTCTGATCCCCATCTTCAAAAACAGGACAGAACGCAGCAGGTTCAAAGAACTAAAAAGGTACAGCTGCACTGAGCAGCCGGGTCCCTGGGGGTCTGTGGGGCTTCCGTCCAGGGGCGTGGAGGATGCCGACGCGTTCTGGGAGAACCAGAGAACCAGCGATGCTGGACCTGGGGACGCTAAAGCCCAGAGTCCAATCCCGGTCGTCTCCACGGTCACCTCAGAAACTGCAGTCATGGCCCAGGCCTCGTCTGCCTCTGCAGGGCCTGGGCTGGGACGTGGGGACAGCTCTGACACCTGCTTGGTCTCCCACGTGGAGGCTAGGACTGAGCACTCCCTTGGGGCCAAAGAGGAGTGCCCCACTTTGGGCTAAGCGGCACATATGGTTCACTCCACATGGACAGCCCACAAGCTCGTAACACGCCTGGCATGTGATACCTCACGTGACACCCCGTGTGACACACCTGTCACACCCCATGTGCGATCCCGTGTGAAACCCCATGAGACCCCTTGTGGGGAGGAGTGGCAGCAGCTCCCAGACGCCCGCTCCTCAGTGCCCAGCAGCCCGGGTGGGGTGCCATGAGGAGGGGCGCCCCCCAGGCAGGGGCCCCATGCTCTCACCCGTCTGCATCTGTGCCAGGGGGTCTGGCTCGGGGCCCAGGCCGTCAGCAGCGGGAGGCAGGGGCAGCGAAGAGTGGGGGCGGCCAGGGCCATCAGGGTCACCACCGTCCAGGTCCTGGTCTGCATCCCTGTGGGGAGAGGGCACTGTGAGGGGCTGCAGGGGTCGCCACCGGGGTGGGAGGCCTCCCCGGCCCCATCCGCCCCCAGTCCCTGCGGGCCCGCAGCACGCACGTGGTTCCTGCCGGGCCGTACTTCCTGCGGCCCAGCCGCGTCTGCTGGGAGAAGCAGTCGTAGCGCTCTGACTTCTTCCACAGGTAGTAGTACTCCACGCACTCGCCCACAGACCGCGTGCGCACCTGCAAGACAGCCCAGGGTCACCCCAGCCCCCAGGCCCCACGGTCCCTGCTTGTCAGCCCCCCCGCCTCCCAGGACAACTGGACGAGCCACGGCACCCACCACTCAGACACAGACCCTGCCCGAGGCCCCCGCGCTCTCTGCGCCAAGCTCCAGCCCATCTGAGGCTCGACCCCTCGCCCCGAGGGTGACGGCGGCCCCATCTCAGAGAGCCACCACTCGCTGCATGGGAGCCCACCCTTCTCCACTCCAGGTCCACATGTCCAGCGCCCACCTCCCTTCCCCAAGGACGGTGGCGCCCGCCTCGTCCCTGCTCCTCACAGGCCCAGCAGAGTCAGGGCAGTGAGGACCAGGACGGAGCCCAAGCCCAGAGGGAACAGCATGAGAACCAGCTGAGCCCACTTCTCCTGCAGAGTGCAGAGCACCACTGACATCGTGAGCACACAAGATGCTGGTGAACAACACACCATGGTTCCATGACCCCAGACTTCGGTCATACTTAAAACATGGCACAAAAAGGCCTCCACACAGAACATCCTAAAAAGAAGAACATGCGTCCGGCAGGGAGCCACACGCCACCTGGAAAACCCCTTGTAGTGATTTGGGGCATCTCCCACTTTAGAGGATCACCCACAGCAAGCCAAGGGCTGCGGCTAGAGCTGGCAACGGTGGGAGAACCCCACTGCCATTCACCAGAATGAGGGACCCAAAATTGTGGCCCAGGGAGGGTCTGGGGACAAGTCGGGGGCATGGCACAGGCAGACGCGCCCGTCTTCTCAACGAGCCCCTCGTGTGTCAGCTGGCCTGGAAGGAAGAGCCCAGGCCCCTGGGCCAGCTGCACGGCACAAAAGAAACACCCAGAGGCACACGTGGCGGACTGCACAGGAAACAGGCAGCGAGCTGACGACGCTGTGCTCAGCAGCGGCCTCGCCCACGGTGGAAATGCAGCGAGCAGGCGCTGCGCCAGCCGCGAGGCGCTGCTGCAACAGGACGATCGAGTGCAGCCTGGAGTGGCACTGGGTGCGGGCACCATCCCTGTCCCGACACCAGCCCTGCACGGGGCTCCCGCATCACAACCTCCCAGGAGAGGCAGTGAGGCTGGACAGGAGCCCAGCGACAGCCAGGCCTGCTTCTCCTCCGACTGGCCCGTGAGCACTGGCACAGTGGTCCAGGGCACAAGAGACCGGGGACGGGGGTGGGGAGGGGAGCCACACGGGACAGACAGGGAAACCAAGGTCTGAGACAGAGCCCCAGGGGCACGTCCAGCAGACGTCCGGGACTACAGGCCAGATGCACCAGGGCTCTGCCGAGGGGTCAGCCTGGAGTCGTCAGGGGCGAAGCCATGGACAGAAGATAGCAACAAGGGCCCACAGAGACCAGGAGTGACCCAGTTTGGCAGGAGGAAGCAAGGGCGAGGGAAGAACAGGGGACTGAGGGAAGGGAGGACGGGGGCTGAGGTCTAGGGAGGAGGGGGACTGAGGTCTAGGGAGGAGGGGGACTGAGGTCTAGGGAGGAGGGGGACTGAGGTCTAGGGAGGGGGACTGAGGTCTGAGGAGGAGGGGGACTGAGGTCTAGGGAGGAGGGGGACTGAGGTCTGAGGAGGAGGGGGACTGAGGTGTAGGGAGGGGGACTGAGGTCTAGGGAGGACGGGGACTGAGGTCTAGGGAGGAGGGGGACTGAGGTGTAGGGAGGGGGACTGAGGTCTAGGGAGGACGGGGACTGAGGTCTAGGGAGGAGGGGGACTGAGGTCTAGGGAGGAGGGGGACTGAGGTCTAGGGAGGGGGACTGAGGTCTGAGGAGGAGGGGGACTGAGGTCTAGGGAGGAGGGGGA